GAGAGAGAGAGAGAGAGAGAGAGAGGAGAGAAAGAAAAAGAAGAGAAAGAAAGAAAAGAATCTCCCTGTGGAGTCATGTGGTGATGCTGGGTTTCCTGGTATCGTCACCTCATTAATCTGGCGCATCCTACGCTCCTCCAGGTCCATCTTGGCCCTCAGGAAGCCCTCATGCTCGCTGATTTCCCCAGGCATGCCAAAGTAAACATCCACACCATCAGTGGGCCTTGGTGTGGGAGTGACTGCAAGACAGGGGTGAGGCAGGCCAGTCACTTTTCCTCCCTGAGGAGTCCACTTCCCAGGATGCACCAGAGACAGCAGGCATCCAGTCTAGCCACGCTTGTTACCTGGCATCATGGTTCCAGGCCTGACCTGCGTCGGCAAAGTTCTGGGAGCATTGCCAAAATGAGCCCCCTCTTCCCATCACCCCTTTGCGGTCCCCCCCCCTTCATTCTTCACGGACTAATCTACCTCTACCGTATCCAAAGCCACTGCATCTCTTCCATTTCCCCAGTTGTGCCCTCACTCCTGAAGCACCCCCATGCTCCCTCAAACTGCCCTAAACACAAATGGTGAAGAGAGCCCGGGAGACCACCTCACCTTTGCTGACCATGGCAGGAGTGTGGGAGCTGGGAGGTGGGACTCTTTCCTTCTCCTTCTCCTCCTCCTCCTCTTCTTCAGCCTGAGGGGGCTCCACGAAGTAATCATCCACTGGCTGAGGGAAGGATTCCACCTCTTCCTCATCCTCACCTCCCTCTGCTCTGCCCCCCAGGGGCCAGGACCGGGTAGAGGGGTCACTGAAGGACAGAGACTCAGGCAGTAAGATCCCCAGACAGGCTCCCAGGCTCCCATCCCCCGCCTCAAGAGCCATGGGGAGGGGATGGAGAGAGTCCGCTGTCACTCACCCAACTGCCATCCCGGAAGGGTTGGTAGTCGCCGGAGCGGGGCAGCATACATACTCCACACCTCGGAACCGATCAGAGCCGCAGGGCAAAAGCATGCCAGAGCCATGCAGGATGAGGCCCTGGGAGCTGCAGGCCTGCAGGAAGACAAGGCCCAGAGACCAGAAGGGCCTGGTTGGAGGGTGTGGACAGGGAGCCTGGAGGCTGTGTTCCAGGAGAAGGGAATGAGAGATCCCTACGCCCCAATTGGAACTCTTGGGTTCTGGAAGGAAGGGCCCAGATTCCTAGGTCCTAGGCTTAGGAGACAGGCGGACTCAGTCCTCACCTCCTGCGCCTCCTGATGCCTCCTGCTGGAGCTCTCACACTGGTCCATGCGCTCCTGGTGCAAGAACCGACAGCCTTCAGGCACTAGCAGGGCCTCACTCACGAATTCACCAGCTGGGGAGTGGGAGACACCAGAATCATAATACCCCAGCCCTGCCCTCATCCTCAGAGGTGTCTCTGCCTGACACCCGGACTTCTAATGTAGATCTGCCTCATCTCTGGGGGACTCCCACGTCACCTCAGTTCCCGTCCCCCAGCACGTGACTCACGCAGGCAGTGGAAGGGTACGACCTCACGGTGGGGGTGGGCACATCTGCCGCTTCGGGTCCCACCACACCAGCGCTCCATTGGGATGGCCTGTGCAGCCTGTTCCACGCGAGCTATGTGTAGCTCTGGGTACATCTGCGGGAACCAGGAAGTGGAATCAACCTGCTGCTGTCCAGCTCTCGTTTTTGCAGGACTAGGGACCCAACCAGGGCTCCACGCTCGCCAAAGCAAGTGCTCTATCACTGAACTATACACCCAACCCTCTTTTTATTTTGAAACTGGGTCTCGATAAGCGTTCTACACTGGCCTTGAACAGCCCGAGTAAGCCTTCAGTTTGCGATCCTTGGCCTCTCCAGCAGCTGGGGTTACTATGCTCAGCCATTCCCTTGTCAATTTTCTAGTGTTCATAAGGACACCCCCCCCCCCCCGATCTTCCTCTCTTGTCTATAGGACTAACAGGTAGCTAAGCCTCAGGTGCCCTCCTTAAGTTCACCATGCTCAGGAGGTCTCGGTGAACGAGGCCCGTTCACGAAACTCAACTTCTCCAAGCCCATTTCTCAGGGCAACCCTGCCCCTCAGTCAGGTTTCTTTCTTAAAATAGCCCTCTCTCGTGCCCTGCCTTTCTCTGTTTAGCTTCTAAGTAACTCTTCTCTTTGTATTAGCTCCGCCTTTTCATTTCACGCCTCCTTGGAACCCACTCTCATTGGGCTCCTCCGCTTCCCGCATCTTGTTGGTTTAGAGCTCTTTTTATCTAAGCCCAGCCTCTCCTTTGGCCACGCCCACTTACACTCCCACTTTTTCTAAATAGCTCCACAGATTCCTAAGCCTTGCCACTCTCGAGGCGATCTTGATCAGTCGACGTTTTTGCAGTTTTTTCCTCCTCCTAATATCTCAGAATAGGTTCTGCCCTGGCCCCGCCTCGCCTCCTCGCTGGACACAGACCCCGAACTTCCCCAGGCTTCCCAGATCGTCTCACCTCCCTGGACTCGGCCTTTCTCAAGTCTAGCTTCGTCAAGGGCGACCCCGCCCCAGCTTGGACCCACTGACCACTGACCACGCCTCTGGCCGTGGGTCCCGCCCACCTGTCTGCAGTACTCCAGCACTCGCTGCGGGTCCAGGAGACAGCGTCGTGATCGCTGTGGGTCTGGTTCCCAGCGGCCGGTGCGCAGGTCCCGGTGAAGGGTTAGACGCCCACATAGTCCAGCCACCTGAGCTGACCCTGGAGCCTGGGAGTGGAGGCAGATGGGGCAGTGAGGGGCCGGGGAACACTGGCATTCTGGGTCATCTGGTCCCTTGCTCCCTAAAACCCAGATGGACACCTGCCCCTAGCACCAGATCCTTCTAAGCTCTCCTGGGTGGAGGGACCGTTCCCCGGGAAACAGATCCCGTGGGGCGGGAGCGCCCCAGCTCTCCCGTTGCTATGGTGAACCCGGATCCCCACCCCCCGGGTTTCTCGCGGCCTTGTAGCTGAGAAGACAGGCTCCGCCCCCGCCCCAGCTTCTTGGTTCTAGAGCCCGAAGGGGTTAAAACTTGAATCGTGGGGTGGGGGGCAATCCAGGCGTTCTGGCCCCTCCTCCCAGCCCCCCCCCCCCCCTCTCCAGTTCGGGTTCCTATTGAGGGGGTGCAAAGACGAAAGGGCCTGGCTTCCCTGAGGGCCTGCATGCACATCAGGCCGTAAGGACCAGGGAGCTATATCCGGATTGAGTAGTGGGTGGAGGCCTGGACTCCTGGGTGTTTGGGGGTCAGGGGGCTCATGTGGGTCCAGAGGATACAGGGACCCGGATTCTTAGATCCAAGCGCCTGCTGCCTGGTGGGTCCCACGTTCAGGTGGGCAGGGCTTGTGGCTTTGTCGGCTAGCAGTGAGCTGGATTTCTAGGGCCAGGGGCTCTTGGAAAGGCAGGTCCGACGATGCGGGTGGGAGGGGGCAGGGAAGTCGGACGATGGAGGAGCCCAAGAAAGCCTAGAGTTCGGAGAGCATGGGGCAGGCACCTGGCTAAGAAGGGCAGCGCTTTCGGCGGTGGCCGTGTCGCGTCCCCGTCCAGAGGCCCGGTCCCGCCCCTTCCCCCATCCCCAGGACCCGGCCGGGCCTCACCTCGGCCGCGCTGGGGCTCCCACCGGCCAGGCTCCCGACGGCGGGCTGCGCGCGCAGAAGCAGCAGCGACAGCGGCAGCAACAGCGGCA